ATGGCGCTCACATACAGATAAACTTATATCTTTCATTAATGCGCAGGCCGATATCATAATGTATTCTCTTGAAAATTCTTCATTGTTGAATGTGTGTTGAACATAAACTCCTCTGAGTGATTTGACCGTTTAGTGTGAATTCATCTGAGAATATTCTTAAATAAGGAAATCTCTTCAGTGATTGGTCCTTGGCTACATCGTCATCCAAAATCCTGTTTGCGGCGCAGCAGAGTGTCGTGAATCAGACACTTAAGATTTAGTCCTACACTTCACCCAAATTAAGACCGAGATGATTGATAACTTTTCAGCGCAGCTTTGAGCCAACAATTATTTTCCTCTTAAGTCACATCTGAGCAGAGTTCCTGCGAGTCATTCTGAGAAGCTTGATAAATACGGGCTCTGGTATCAATTGATTGGGTCTGAATGAAATGATCGACGCCGCCCACCTGCGCGCTCGCTGCCCCGGCACTCACTGTGCATAAACGTGAGTTTTGGGGGAGTTTCTTTGGAGGGAAGCCTGAAGCCTGAAGGGAGGGAGTTTTTCAGTTGGATACCCACCTGCCTCCCCCAGCATTTATCTGCTTAACATCACAATTACCAGTATAGTAATCCTGAATCTGTGAAGCTTTGAAATTACAGAACTAAATGAATGGGAGAAGAAGAATGACATCACCGGGACTCCAGATGAGGTCCAAGACTGAAACGTCAGTCACACAAAAGGTCTTTGCATCAGATTTTACAACAGACATGATATTTGTCTATTTTGTTGCTCCACGCGAGAAGTGGGCTGGTGAGGACAGGTGCCCCCCCCGCTCCCCCCGCCTGCCCGTGTTCATGTATTCAGGACATGTTGGACAGTAACGTGGTGTGGTGCTCACTGACCGACCCTCAGGCTGATTCAAAGCTTGTTTTACCGTCTGCTTCACTTTAACTCCGCTGCTTTGACTCCGAGTTTCCACTTGTTGTATCCAGCAGCCTGCCGCCGTCCAGCTCGCAGCGCTGCACTATCTTTTTACTGACGGGGAGGGAGCACATTAGGGTGTGTGTTACTCAAAAGTGTGGGAAGAAAAAAGTGTTGTAGTTGGGGACAAGAGGCTGCTCAAGGTTAACTATTTGGTTACTGGTTAGAGTTACGCAGGTTTCAGTCAATTCTATGCAAAGTCACAAAAAAAGTTCAGTGTGTGCTTGAGCGCAGTTTCCCTCTGTAGGCTACTTCTTCTTCATGTTTGCACTGCTGTGAGCAGCACAAGATTTGCATGATGGCCGACTGGTGAATTCAACTAAATAATCTACAGAACAAAGCAGCAATACATAACAAAAGGTCTCTCGTTGCACGTCTCATATGGACCCCTTTGTGATGTTAGACCCAACCGTTCCCACCACGAGGAGGCACTTGCTGACAGTGGAAAGGAAAAACCTTTTTGTTATTAAGCTAATGGGATGAGGCTGCACACAGAGGGAGAGAAAGAGGAGGAGAGAGGAGCTCAGTGCATCATGGGAAGTCTCCTGAAGGATCTACCTGAAGGATGGTTCAGGACTCACCTGAGCCAGCCCTAACTATAAGCTGAGCCAGGAGGAGTCTCAAGCTCAACATCGAAGCTACAGAAGAAGAAGAACAGAGCTACAAACTCGTCCCAGCTCCACGGCGAGCTCCAGGCTCAGCGTGTTCCACGCCGTGGAGCTCGAACCGACGGGCGGCAGAGAGGCGGGGATAACTTCTGAGGGGGGGCAGAGGTGTACTGTAGAAGTTCCTCTTCCTCCTCCTCTTCTTCCTCCTCTTCCCCTTCCTCCTCTTCCTCCTCCTCTTCCTCTTTTTCCTCCTCCTCCTCCTCCTCCTCTTCTTCTTCTTCTTCTTCTTCCTCCTCTTCTTCTTCTTCTTCCTCTTCCTCCTCTTCCTCCTCTTCCTCTTCCCCCTCCTCCTCCTCCTCCTCCTTTTCTTCCTCTTCTCCCTCCTCTTCCTCCTCCTCCTCTTCCTTTTCTTCTTCCTCCTCCTCCTTCTCCTCTTCCTCTTCTTCTTCCTCCTCCTTCCTTGTTTTCTTCCACCTTCTTCCTTTTCTTCCTCCTCCTCTTCTTCCTGTTCTTCCTCCTCTTCCTCCTCCTCCTCTTCCTCTTCTTCTTCCTCCTCCTTCCTCCTTTTCTTCCACTTCTTCCTCCTCCTCTTCCTCCTCTTCTTCCTTCTCCTCCTCCTCTTCCTCTTCCTCCTCCTTCTCCTCTTCCTCCTCTTCTTCCTCCTCCTCCTCCTTCTCCTCCTCCTCTTCTTCTTCTTCCTCCTTCTTTTCTTCCTCTTTTTCCTCCTCCTCCTCTTCCTTCTTCTTCCTCTTCTTCCTCCTCCTCCTCCTTCTCCTCCTCCTCTTCTTCTTCTTCCTCCTTCTTTTCTTCCTCTTTTTCCTCCTCCTCCTCTTCCTTCTTCTTCCTCTTCTTCCTCCTTCTTTTCTTCCTCTTCCTCCTCCTTCCTCCTTTTCTTCCTCCTCCTTCCTCCTTTTCTTCCTCTTCTTCCTCCTCCTCTTCCTCTTCCTCCTCCTTCTCCTCTTCCTCTTCTTCTTCCTCCTCCTCCTCCTTGTTTTCTTCCACCTTTTTCCTTTTCTTCCTCCTCCTCTTCTTCCTGTTCTTCCTCCTCTTCCTCCTCCTCCTCTTCCTCTTCTTCTTCCTCCTCCTTCCTCCTTTTCTTCCACTTCTTCCTCCTCCTCTTCCTCCTCTTCTTCCTTCTCCTCCTCCTCTTCCTCTTCCTCCTCCTTCTCCTCTTCCTCCTCTTCTTCCTCCTCCTCCTCCTTCTCCTCCTCCTCTTCTTCTTCTTCCTCCTTCTTTTCTTCCTCTTTTTCCTCCTCCTCCTCTTCCTTCTTCTTCCTCTTCTTCCTCCTCCTCCTCCTTCTCCTCCTCCTCTTCTTCTTCTTCCTCCTTCTTTTCTTCCTCTTTTTCCTCCTCCTCCTCTTCCTTCTTCTTCCTCTTCTTCCTCCTTCTTTTCTTCCTCTTCCTCCTCCTTCCTCCTTTTCTTCCTCCTCCTTCCTCCTTTTCTTCCACTTCTTCCTCCTCCTCTTCCTCTTCCTCCTCCTTCTCCTCTTCCTCTTCTTCTTCCTCCTCCTTCCTTGTTTTCTTCCACCTTTTTCCTTTTCTTCCTCCTCCTCTTCTTCCTGTTCTTCCTCCTCTTCCTCCTCCTCCTCTTCCTCTTCTTCTTCCTCCTCCTTCCTCCTTTTCTTCCACTTCTTCCTCCTCCTCTTCCTCCTCTTCTTCCTTCTCCTCCTCCTCTTCCTCTTCCTCCTCCTTCTCCTCTTCCTCCTCTTCTTCCTCCTCCTCCTCCTTCTCCTCCTCCTCTTCTTCTTCTTCCTCCTTCTTTTCTTCCTCTTTTTCCTCCTCCTCCTCTTCCTTCTTCTTCCTCTTCTTCCTCCTCCTCCTCTTCCTTCTTCTTCCTCTTCTTCCTCCTTCTTTTCTTCCTCTTCCTCCTCCTTCCTCCTTTTCTTCCTCCTCCTTCCTCCTATTCTTCCTCCTCCTTCCTCATTTTCTTCCTGTCATGGGGCTACCCCATGCCTTCATTGAAGCCAGCAGTGTTGGTCTTGGCATGCTAAGCTAACCTTAGCTGAGCATTAGCATAGGACGGTTACCCTTAGCATATGGGCTAGCATCAATGGACACATGGCCTGTCATTTCATGTCAGTTCATTTAAGTACTGGTCAGAAGAGTTGAAATCATGGTTGGATAAATACAACACATTCACAGTTCATTTCAAGTAATTTATTTTAGCTTATGGGATTTACCCAAGGTCATTCAAATGTTTGTATGTCTTATTCACTTGTTCTCATCCTCAAGCAGGGATCTGGGCCAAAGGGGCAAACAGGAAGTGATGGAGTGTGGAGTCATTTATAGGGAGAAGACCTGGAATGGTCCAAGTGTGAGCCAGTACAGAGGGGTGTACGGGAGTATCTTAAAGTTGCTCTTTTGAGAAGCTTTTGTTTAGCCGGTAACATTTAATTTCTGGTTTTCTAGTTGATTTGTTGTGTGGTGATGTAGCCAGAGATGTGTTTGATTGTTGAGATAACATAATGGTGTTTAATTGATTGTCAATTAACTTTGGTTTGTCTTGTAGGAGGGGATTTGGGTATAAAGGAAGGAGGCAGAGGCCCCCTGGGGAGAACAGCTTTGGCCTGGAAGGGCACATGTGCTGGAGCCCAATAGTCAGGGCTGATATAGGTTTTGTTTTGTGTAAACTCAGTTTTTAATGATAATTTGAAGTAAGTAAGTAGTATATACTTAGTTTCCTTGTTGTTTGTTTTTGTAAATTTTTGATATATTTTTACAATACCTCACTTGCACAACTGCACTTTCCACGCATCTGGTATAAATAAATTGAAGCACCAGGTGAAGAACTCCATGTCCATGTCTCCTCCTTCCACCATGGGGCTAAACCTTACACTTCCTCTTCCACTTCTTCCTCCTCCTCTTCCCTCTCCTCTTCTTCTTCCTCTTCCTCCTCCTCCTTTTCTTCCTCTTTTTCCTCCTCCTCCTCTTCCTCCTCCTCCTTATTTTCTTCCTCTTCCTCCTCCTCTTCCTTCTCCTCCTTCCTCCTCCTCCTTCTTCCTCCTTCTTTTCTTCCTCTTCCTCCTCCTCCTCCCCTTATACCTGCATCACCACAGGTTTACAGTGATTTGTAAAAAAGGTCCCAAAGTGAACTAGATATTATAAAATGGATTCACAGCCACTGAAATGTGTTATTAACTGTCAACACATCACTTTAAGCTGACATGCTACCCAGGATGCTCCTCAGTGACCTCCTCTCCAGGGTTATTGGACACATGTCAGACACAAATGGAGCTATTTCCTGTCTGGGCAACATTAAAGCTCCTGTTTTAAAAGGTGAAGTTGAAGTTAAAGGCTCTGGAAAAACTACAGAACTGTTTGTGTGTGTGGAGCAGACGGATCAGGCAGGAGGAGGTGTGTTTACTGGGCTCCTCCTCCTCCTCCTATTCCTCCTCTTCTTCTCTCTCCTTCATCAGAGCAGCAGAGTTAAGTGCCAACCCTCCAACACACTCCGTCTAGCTGTCTCCATTTCTTTTTCAAACACTCTCATGGATTATTACCACCTTCTGCTGCTGCTGTGGACCTGCAGCCTCCTGCCAGGTGAGCGAGCGAGCATCACACAGCACAGATCAGAGAGAGAGAGAGAGAGAGAGATGAAAGCATGTTTATATCAGACAGGTGCTGCTGTTCGGTTGTTTCAAGCCTCTAAAATAGACCTCCCTATTACAAACCACCTGTTTGATGGTGACGTACTGATCAGGGGTGCAGTGCAGGTTCACCTCTGAGTTCAAAAGGTGCACAGAGGGACATGAACGGTTCTTTTTACACTTGAAGGAGCACCTGCGCTGAGGAAAGACAAAATCTAGATTAAAAAAATGATCACTTTTGGGGTCCTGTCATTGATCTAGTTTATGGATCTTATTTTGATGCTGCAGGTTCCTTCAGAGTCACAGCCAGCAGAGTCTACAGCTTCACGAACAAGCATTGAAAACACTCTTATCTGATGTCCAGCGTGTTGTTTTCTGACATCTGAGTGTGGAGCAGTGTTTTCATCTGCACATGCGTTTTTGTTTCTGTGCACAGATCTTTGAAGCCGAGCCCGTGGGTTTGTTCAAAGCATGTAAGGCATTTACGAGCCTCTGTGAGACTTTATAAAGATTAAAAAGTCTCCCTGAAAGCCTTTACAGTAAAGACTTTACAACTCTGATCTGACGAGCCTTCGTCAACAGTGCAAGTGGAGTACCTGCCACTTAGGGTGACCAGATGAGAATGGATGAAATTCAGGACGCTAAAATTTATTAAAGAATGAGTGTTACTTTGTGGCTGTAACAACAACAACTGCTCATAATTTGGGACTGTCCCGAGAAAGTCTGGGAAGTCTGGTCACCCTGCTGCCACTGGTGGTGCAGTAATAAGCTCAGGTGCAGGTGGGGAAGTGGAGTGATCTAAAGCCCTGCTAGCGTTCCCTAAAGGCTGCCACCTTCATTACACCCAACAGTAAGTGTTGGACAGAAGGAGCATCATATTGATGACAGTTCATCCTTAATGTGACAAAACACTCTCAACTCAAAAGCCTGTTAAGTGCTTGTTCTGGAGCTTTCATCATCAGCTTCACCAGCGACGACCACGCCGCAACAATGTGTTATTTAAAGGTTTAATGAATATTCTGAGTGTGAGGACAGATGAAAAGGGGAAGGGGGGTGGAAGAAGGGTGCTGTCTGATAGGCCGGTCTGGGAGGATTTGTGAAGACTCAGAATGGGGGTTCTGTCTTGGAAGTGGTTTCCCCCGAGCAAGTTACTAGCCCCCCAGACGGTACGTAAATGAGACATGAGAGAGGTGTGCAACGGGTTGAATAGGAAGGGAAGAGGGGACGGGGGGGAAGGTGTGTGGATGAAGGGGAGGGTAGATCGAGCAATCTGAGACATACGGAGGCTGGCTGAGGAGCACAGGTTGAAGCGTGGCCCCGCTCCCGAACCTGTGAACAAATTTATTTCACTTAGTTAAACAACAACATAATGATGATTCAGTTCAGGTTGAAAATGTGTTGATAAAGATGTGTTCGTACTCGTCCCATCTTTGGACAGGTTTGTGCAGCGGTGTTCATGAGAGAGAGAGAGAGAGAGCAAGAGCGAGCGAGGAGATACTGCACGAATATATGCTCCTCAATCATATATGATTTTATATACGCCTAGTAAAAAAAATATGAAATCACTATGTGGCGGTCAGCGTTGATAATTATCCAGATTATAGGCTAATTAACAAATCACCTCTCCCAACTTTTAAACTACTATCATATTCATAACAGCAGCAAAGTGTGTGGTTTATGCAGAGCATATAGCATATAGTTATATATCATACATTTTTATATACAGTCTATGGTATCAGCGTTACTGTCCAACACTGACTGTGAGTACCCGGATGGTGAACTCATAAGGGCTAAAAAGTTGAGTGTGGAACGACCGCCATTTCAGCTATGTAGCGGAAGGGGCGGGACCAACAACACGGGACAAGTGGGAAGCAGCAGAGGGAGACGCCAACAACAGAACTTTTACAAGTTTCGTACTCTATTTCATCACTAAATCCACTGCTGAGAAGTTTTGAGGCGAGAAATCAGCTGTGTAGATGTCGAATGTTGACAGTTTTACGAGAAGTGACGGCGGAACAAAAATGTGCTTGAATGTTTTCGGAGTTGAGGAGCTCCGCAAGTGGCGGCGGGGGAAGCTCGCCGCCACTTGGAGGAACAACGGCAGAGGAAAACACAGCTTAAATGTTTGTACTGCTGTTATTACATATATATGTCATTACATTTGAGTAGTTTAAATAAAATGAAGAGACATCTGGCTCGTGATGTACAGAAGATTCTTAAAAAACAGAAATTGAATGAAAAGGGGACTATTGTTAGTTTTAATTATTATTATGGTTGTTAATTTGGAGCTCTGCAGGCCTCTGTGACGGGGGGATTGCACAATCTTGCGATAGTCATTTCTGGTCAGTGCAGAACAGCAGTGTTTGATTTGAGACACAGTACCCTGTCAAAATTAACGCACTAAGCAAGTAAGTACATAGTGTACTGCGTGTTAGTACACTCAAGGAAGTACCTGAATTGAGACACAGCATTGCAAACAACGTCTTGTGCTGCACCTTAGCTTGCTGAATGAAAAGCGTACTGCTAACGTTAGTTTGCAGGCTAGATAGCTAACTAGCTGGTCAGCTGCAGCCCATTAAACCAACACCTTCTCACTCCTAACTCATCACTTTTTGACACCCTTTAGTGTCGTTTTGAACGTGTTGGGCTGTGGTCAGGTTTGCAAGAGTGAATATGCAACAGGAATGTGATTAATGTTGTGAAACATTTGGATTAGGCACCAAAACTACTTTGTTAGATTAAAACAACTACGTCTCTTACGTGACTTAACAAAAACAATGTTGGAAACAAACACCGGTGTCCTGGGTGAAAGTCTGGTTTGTGGCCCACCCACCTCCTTACTTGGACTTTTCTGTTATTTATATTGTACACCTGCTTTAAGCGTTCACAAAGGATGCAACAGGTCTTCCCAGTGCGTTACAAACTGACGCCAAGGTATCGTAAACCCTGCGTCCACATGTGACGACTTGGGAGTGAGAACAGGTTGATTGAACAGCATCTAAACTGACACTGCCGCTTCAGTTCGTTTAGATGCTGGAACGGCACAGTGTCTGCCCCCAGCAGCTGCCAATCAAATAGTGCCGCCCAAAAATCACCAAACAAACGACCAAATGTTATGAAGGTTCTGGCCAAATTTTCTTGATTTGACATCTTATTCACCAAAATGACCTGATTAAAGGTAGTAAGAGAAAAGATGGGAAAGGGATGACTCTCTTGGAACAAAATTTCACAGCAATCTGGCAGATAAAAGTGTCGGACAAGCAGATCATCCCCGTCTATAGGCACTGCTGCCAGCAGAGTAAAATTGAGCAAATGTACAAATTGGGTCACTTTAGTCCTGGTGGATGAAGTCAGGGTCCATTTTCCTGTTTCACTGTGATTAAATTGAGTATTATGACCCCTAAATTCAATTTGTGTAGAGTTTGGTGCGATGGTTTTAAGGTTCTGGGTGTTTCCCTCGAGGTACAGCCGACAGGTCAGTGAGCTCTCGCTGTGGGGTGATGGGTATTCCAGGAACTCAGAGGGTGAAATGGTTTTTATGGCACGTTGTGGCTTTTAGGCCGATCGTTAAACTCAGAAGGCAGCACATCCGTCATGATGTTGTTGTTGTTAATAACACCACACAGGAAGGCGTCAGTGACCACCTGCCTTATTCAGGCTAACCCACACAAGCTTCTCCCAAAAATCCCTCTCATACTATTATATAGTAGCTGTTTGCAGTTGATTTAACCTCCTTGATGTCCCAGAAAGGTGGAGTCACCGCTGGAAACAGTGTCCTGGCAGGTTCTGAATCCCAGTAAATTGTCTTTAAATGGACTCAGAAATTGTCCTGTGAATGGTTGAATCTCTCTGACACTCACTGAGCACCATCTCTTGTATTAAACTCCACCCATGTGGCACGCCACTATTACAAAATGAACCATAATAGAAATATTACTTGGCCAGGTCCTGCTGCCAGCTTTGCATCACAGCTGCACTTCATAGTAACCACAGACGTGGTTTTATTTTGTCTGTAATGAAGAAGCAGCTCTGCTTCAGGGACAGAACAGTCTGATAAATATTTCTGAGGCATAAAAAAGGTTTATATAACTTAAGAAAATAAAGAACTGGGAATAACAGAGTGTACGCTGGATTATGATCAAGTCAATCCTTGATACGTGTCATCTTATGTAAGGAGAAACTTTCACACGCTTCATTCAAAACCTTCTGAATTTAACAGATACTGTAGTCACACTGCCGAATGTGACACAACTGAAGCAGAAGGGGTCACTTTTAAATTCAGCACATATGTAAATCAACCAAGTAACAGTGAAATATTTAAAGAAAATGCAAATCTTAAATATTCTAAGGTGTAAAATTAACTCTTGAAGAGTTGTTGATCTCTTGAATCTTACCAGCGGGTCCATTGAGCAGCTGTTCTGGAGCTTTTGGTCATTTTGTGGAAGATCCTTAAAATGAGTGCAGTCAGTCATGTCTATGCTGAAGGATTCCAAAAATCTCCTAAATTGGAATTGCATGGTTGATTAGGAAGATCATTTTAAATGTCCAGTTATTTTAAAGGGAGTTTGGCATGCAGTGTGGTTGACCAACCCGTTCTCAGATCAGTTGGCATCATAGTTCAACACAGTGGGGGAAACCCTGCAGCGTCATTTTTATAACGCTAAAGGTAGATGTAGACAGTGGTTCTCAATGTTTTTGGGGCCAGCGTCCCCCTATCCATTATCCAGGCCCCCATCAAAAAAGATGTTTACATTAACTCATTTAGCAGACGCTTTTATCCAAAGTGACTTACATTTGAGGAACAACATACAAGCATCAACAGAGCATCAACTACAGATCTACAACTGGCAAAACATACTAGTAAGAGCTCACAGTATATATCACATCGACATGTTGGCCATTTGCCCTGAATTATTATTATTAAAAAAACACATAATTGAATAGCAAACTACA